TTTAAAAAAGAAGCTGCAGTACTTGTTTCACCACCTTGAAAAATGCAAGTTACAATTTCCTGCTGAATAACAAATAATCAATTTTACTGTTAACTTCGTTTATCAAAAATGACAAAACAGAAATGAAAACCTGAACAAAGAAGAACATATTCATCACAGTGAGTCACTACATGTCTGAATACATCAGGTCACTGGTTGTGTTCATTTACTTTGATGAACCTCACTTTACAATTATAAAAGATTCTCCAAACAACACTGGAAATAATTGATTGGCAGTGATGTTAAATAATAGCTTAGCTGGCCATATCTGAACACTTACAAGCTTCAAAGTAATACTGTAATTTTATTTAACACTATTTTCAGCAAACCTCTCAACAGTTCCAGTTATGCCGGTCAAAGAGAGGAGTTCTTTYTGCGCAAGAAGAAAGGAACTCAAGTATCAGGATGTTTTGCTCCATTTAATTCTATTCAAAATATCAAAMTTTAATATATTGTCATTTCCCTGGGTGTTCCCATTCACAGAATACGATAAAATACTGTTTCACAACCACTATAAAGAGCCTTAAAATATACATCTATATTTATAAATATACACAAATCCAAAGTACATACACATATATAGGCTAAACATCCCACATTATAAAGTAAAAAAAAGTAAAATGCCTTCAATAGTTCATAATTCGGAACAATGACTAATAAAAACACACCTAAAAAAAACACAGAGAATCACTCCTTATCAGCAGAATGTACCTCCTGGACAGGTGAGGCTGTCAGTAAGGGGATTCATCAGTCTTATGAGGGAAGAAGCTATTCAGCAAAAAATAGATATAAATAAATTCATCTTCTTCATCTTTTCAGGGTCTTCACAGTGAATCGTCCTCCATCTCACTCTGTCCTCTTCATCCTCCATCCTCACCCAAACTACCTCCATGTCCTCTCTAACTCTGGATCTCCTCTTTGGTCTTCACTCTTAGAAAATACAACTGTTTAATTTGGCTTCCAGTTCTTTATGTCTCCTCTGGAGGGGGCTGTGAGTGTTTTGGCATCTGCAACAGGGTATAGACAGTTTCRGTTTGTTCACAGCCCTGTTCCTGAACATCGGCTGCAGTCTCTAAAACTGAAGTTGTTTTACCGTCCGTGTGCCCTGCTCTGTTTTTACTGCTTTCATRTTTGACATGAGAGGCAGGCGCTGTGGGGATGCTGTAAACGGTATCCACTCCCTGATTGTCCCTGGAGCCTTGTTCTCCTCTTGGGATGCTGCTGATCCCTCCAGGCTGGTCAATGTCCACGTTCTCATATGAAGGGTCGGCTTCACAGGAAGAAGACGTGGACGTTCTAGGCTCTGTCCGTGGCTGCGTATCCAGTGGTCCGCTTTGTATTAATGGAGCTGCGGCTGTTTGCTGGAAGGGATGTGGTAAACAATGTTTCACAATCATCATCAGAATACAGGAGACAACAAGACTGTTAATTCTAATWTTAAATCATTTCTTACRTTACAAGTTATACGAGGACAAGTTYATTGTTTTTGTAGATTACCTGTTGGTGTTTCTTTGAGAAGTGTATAAAAGATAAGACAGCACATATGAAGAGGATCATTGCACACAAGATGATGATGATTAATTCAATTTTAAAACGTGGCTTTGATTCTTCTATGAGTTCAGGGTCATATTTACTGTAACCTGAAACATAAAATCCATGAAAATATTTTAAAATGGCCATCCTCATTCATAYTGAGAAATTCTGAGAAATGCCAAAAGTTTTTCAATGTTACACGATTCAATAAAAGGACCGGGAAACAGGCAGGGAAACATATATATGATATTTCAATTGACTTAAACTTCACAGCAATGATTGGTTTAAGAATAAACAGCTTTGTGTCAATACTTACACCACGTTGCATAACTCTCTGATATGTTGTTTGTGCTCACATAGTTGTTGCCGATACAGACAACAGCTGTGTTGTCAGAGACGATGGTCATGTTGAAGTTGCTGAATGACTTCTCAGATGGGCTGCATACATCTTTATCACAGAACGACAGCAGCTGATCATCCTGGATGGAGCAGTTGACTGTGAACCTGCAGGCTGCTGCAGACAGGTTGGAGCGATTCTCTGGCATCACAACCATCACAGGTCTGGGAACCATTTCTGTRAGACCCAGAGATGCAGATTAATTAATGACTAAATGGGACCATTTGTTGGCTAACTACAGTAAGCACAATTTATTAGGCAATTTAATTGATTTGTGTTTTAGGTTTTTTTTAATCAAGAAAAAATATATTCTTCTGATTACCAAAGGATTTATTGCCATGTAATTAGTTTTTAACTTCCTGAATGGTTTGGAAGGCAATGACAATTGTGCAAACGTTTTTTCTGAGGAATACACTACATACTGTACATATATAAACACACACACACACACA